CCATTTTAAGATTTTCATTTCTGTTCATTCAATTATGATGGATTGCTTTGCAAAAATTCTGGCATAGTCCTCCTCTTTAGTCAACTGGATTAGGAGATGTCTAGCCCTAACTTCCATTCTGAAATCTTCACGGATTCAAAGTACTTTCTTACTAGTTCCATCTTTGGATGTCCCAAGCTGAATTTACCAATTAGGGTGAACTGAACCTCCAAGTTTAAGTCAGCAAGCTCATTTTCAAAAAGAAAGACAGCAAGTTCCCCATCTTTATTACCCACAGGGTGAATGCAGGCAGCAGATCCTCTTCCAGCAACAGTGTTATGAAAGTCCCGAGGGAAGACAAGTAAATTAGGATCCAGAAAAGGGGAGGGGGGATTACCCACCACTCTAGCAAAGGTGGCTTTGGTCCATTGCAAGTTCGTTTCCAGGTCAATAAAGGTATTCATGTTTCACCAGACCAAGACCCCAAAACAAGGAAGGCTCCAGGCCAAAACAAACACCAGCAAGGGACGTAAACAATAGAAAAGCAGATAGCTGCTACCCAAGCAAGTCCCAAAGGCAGCAAACCACAGCTTTCAAGCAAGTTACCAAGGAAAGACAGAAGAAGAAGCAGAGGAGCTTGAGCTGCCCGATGGAACAATAACAACTTCACAAAAACCACAAGAAACCACATTAGCCCCAGCAAGGCCACCAAGAACAAAACAAAAAGTTCCAAAAAAAGCCAAAAAAGCTTCTTTAAAAAACAGCCAGCACCAAGAATCAAGCTTTCCGGCAACACCAGTTAGCTCCATTACTGCCAGAACCCTAGCAGAGCTCTGCTAGGTCCAGCCGCCACCTCCATTACCCAAATCTTGCATTTTAATCTCAAATTTACGGATAAGGAAGTTTTTGCTTCCTTTGTCTATGTTGGATGGTCTTAAGCAACAAGAATTGAGGGCTAGAATTGAGTTGTGGGAATCCTTGCAGCTCATCCAAGGGTCTATTGACAAGGCCTGGATGGTGGGAGGAGACTTTAATTGTGTCTCATCTCCTGCTGAAAGGAAGGGGGGCAGACCTCCCAATCCCATTAATATATCTTTCTTCAATGACAATATCCAAAAAACTGGGTTATTTGATCTGGGTTTTTGTTGTCCTACCTTTACTTGGAGAAGGAAGGAGCTGTGGGAAAGGCTAGATAGAGTTCTAAGCTTTAGCTAATGACAACTGGATCCAACAGCTCTTGCAGACATCTGTTACCCATTTAAGCGTTGTTGGGTCTGACCACAGGCCTTTACTAATTACTATTGGGAATAAGATGGCTAACCAGAAAAGCTCTTCCAGATACTTGAATGTTTGGTTTCAACATTTAACTTTATTGAATATTATTAAAGATCAGTGGAAGAAAGACCTTCACACTGACCATTTTATCAACCTTTGGCTTAATCGAAAGAGGGTTGCTAAAGCCCTTAAGCAGTGGAGCTGGAATACCATTGGAGACCTACTACTGATTGTTGATAAGGCTAAAAAGGAGGTAACTGAGCTGGAGGAGGAGCATAGCAAAGGAAGGATTGAAAGAGCATAGCAAAGGAAGGATTGATGAGGCTGTTCTCCTTGAGGCTAATGAGAGACTTTTAAATGCCATCTAGTGGCAGGATCACTTGCTTCAACAAAAGGCTGCAAAAACTAAATTTTCTGATGGAGATTGAAATACTAAATTCTACCATGCCTGCATCAAATACCAAAGGAAATGCAACACTATCCACTCTATCGAAGATCATAATGGTACTTGGCTTAGAAAGGATGAGGAAATTGTTGATAGTGCTGTGCAGTATTGCCAATGCCTAATGAATGAGACCACTAGGGATAGAGAACAAATTGATAGAAATTTTTTCATAGACAGCAAGAAGTTCACTGTTAATCTGCATTTAAATGAAATCCCTGATGAGGAATAGATAAAGGCTGCTTTGAATTCTATTGAGAGTATCAAATTAGCTGGACCTGATGGTTTTACTTCTGCTTTCTATAAGAAGGCTTGGGAGGTCATCAAGGAAAACGTGATCATAGCTATTCCACACTTTTTCAAAGGAAACTCACTCCCTAACAATTTCATCACCTCTACTATTGTCTTTATCCCAAAGACCTCTATCAAGGATAGCTGGAGGCAATACAGAACTCTGAGTTTAAATAATTTCATAAGTAAGATGATAAGCAAAATCATTGTAAACAGGCTTCAGCCTATTTTACCTCACCTTGTCAGCATCAACCAAGCTGCCTTTGATAAAGGCAGAAGTATTAGGGATAACATCCTTCTGGCTTAAGAACTTCTGCCGGATTTGGAGAAACCTTGCAGAGGGGGTAATGCAATCTTTAAGCTTGATCTAATGAAGGCTTATGACATGGTTAACTGGGATTTCATCATTGAATGTTTGGAGGCTAGGGGCTTTTCCAGGGATTGCTGCAAGATGATTAAAAGATGGCTGGAGGATAACACAAACTCAGTTTTTATAAATGGTAAATCTCATGGTTTCATTAAATCCACTAGAGGACTTAAACAAGGGGACCCTTTGTCCCCCACCATTTTCATACTGGTGTTGGACTACTTTTCTAGACTGATGGACTGCAAGGGGAAGAGGAAAACCTTTAACTCTTATCACAATAAAGCTAGGATGGACATCAACCATCTGATCTATGCTGATGACATTTTGCTGTTCACTAGGGCTTCTAAGCGTGCTACAAAGTACATTATAGGATGTCTGCAACAGTTCCAACAGGTGTTTGGGCTAAAGGTCAACAAGGAAAAATGTGAGATTCTGATTAGCAAATAAGCCTCTCTACCAATAAAGCAATGGATGCATTCTTACACTGGTTTCTCTAGCCTGAGCCTCCCCTTCAAATATTTGGGAATTCATCTTACCAGGGGAAGAACAAAGCTAATCCAATTTGATGAGGTTATTGATAAGATAACCTCCACTCTTCAGGGGTGGTCTAACTCCTTTTTGTCCAATGGGGGTAGGATCACCCTACTGAAGAGCATTCTTACCTCTATCCCCTTGTATGCTCTCCAAGTGGCTACAATGAAAAGAAGTACAATGAAAAGAAGTACATCTTTGCTGCTGGAAAGAACCTTCAACAGATTTTTGTGGGCTGGAATCAGAAAACAGATGGCTTGGGCTAGTTGGCAAAAAGTAGCTAAACAATGGGAGGCTGGTGGTTTAGGTTTTAAAGGCTT